ATCCCATCCTTGGTAGAATAGTCTCCATTTGGGCCCTTGAGCAAGGTTCTTAACCCTCCCAAAATGCTCCGGAGTTGTCTGATAACCCTGGATGACCGTGTGCTCATACCGCAAGATTCACTATCGCCTCAAAGGAGAGCTAAATGGGAAATGCGAAAACGAAAACATTCCAGCTTGGTCGTGCATATGGCAAATAAAGCATCATTTATTAAATAAGGGGGGGAAAAAAGCATCAAGATTTAGCTTGGAACAGCAGCGGTCCTCTTGAGCTCTGTGGCTGCGTTTGTAGTTCTGCCCCAAAGAAAGCTTCTGGAAGACCACAGATTGGATACTAATGATGTGGAGCGTTTTTTATCTTGGTCGTCATTCCATAAAAAAATGCACCCCGTCAAGAATTCCAAGCGTAGTGAATTTCCAGCTTTTGTTTACAAACGACGTGGACGATGCCGGAGCCACGATACAAGAACCTAGAGTACTACCTGCATCATTCATTAAATAAGAAAAAACAGACTATAAGAGAACACTGTCTGTCATTTATCAGCTTAAGGAATTATCTGACTGTTAAGGCATGAAAATCTGAGACCCGGAATAGGCAGCTGACGTGGCTGAAGGCCATCCATCCTCCTGCATCCCGTCTCTCCGGTTCCGTCTGTGCATTAACGGCTTCTTCCCGAGCGGTTCTCATAAAACACCCTGAGACATTAACCACACTGTGCCTTTTTATTGGTTCCTAAGGGTGCAAACAGAGATAACGCAGCAGATGTGGGAAGTATCATCTCCTTGGGGGTGGGGGGGTTGATGCTAAAAAACCGGAACGGTCCGGTTCCGTGGTGCGGTGTCCCGCTAAACCACCCTGCAAAGTTGATCAGTATTAAATAAACTAGTTATATAAGTAAACAGGCAAAGACTGCATGATTACAATAAAGGACATCCATGCCAGTAATCAAACAAGTTAATGCATCCATACACACAACAGCACTTCATTGAAATTCTTTTTAGGCCGAACAGTTTGCGGTCATAAATCCGCGCTGCTGTAAATCTGTTACTCCCTCGTCGAAGCACCGCTCCATCTGAAAGTATCGGATACAGCTAAACGAAATTCTCCCAAGCTGTGGGTCCCAGTCGGCGGCCACAGCGAACAATTTAATTAGGGATCTGAAATGTAAAGCGGACGTGTGAACATCCAGCGGCCTGCCGTCCATGCTTTGTGGCTGTTTGCCGTCGTTTCCATATGTTTTGTTTGTCTTTCTAATTACAATGAAGAAACACAAACAACAGTGAAGCAGCGCTTCAGCGGTAAAACAGCCCATTTAGCATGTTGTACCCTGTCACCAAGTCACCAAGCTGCCGTAATGAATGCAGTATTTATTGTACGACTTTGAACGGTTCGCCCATGTTGTTCCTGGGCAAATTATTGTCAGTTTCCTGTCACTAAAGGGGCAAGCGAAACCTGCACGACAGCACGGCTGTGTTTAAGCTCACCTGCTGTTTTTTTTTCTAGGGTCGGACGCAAACGACTGTTTGCAGAAGATGTTCGGAGACAACAGTTGGGCAGGCTAAAACCCTATAGATTTCATACAGCCACATTGTGTAGGCGGGAAATCTGTTCATCTTCCCGAACAGGATGTTTGTCAGCAGGTGGAAGATAGGCGTCGATTTGGGAAGGTACAAACATTTGACAGCGTTAAACTCGATCCGCCGATAGAGATCTCACAAAGGGACGAGGTAATAAACGACACAGTTGCGGAGAAGATTCTCCGGCTAAGACAGTTGTATTTTTCATGCGTTTGATTTCTGATTCATTCGACATTTCCGAACGGAGCTTATTGAGTTGTCAGTTTTATTGTCAAACTGTGGCCATATCCGCCTGATTTAGGCGTCCGATGAGAACACGATGAGCAGAAGCTCTTCAGACAGAGGCCTGTTTGATTGGCTGTTGGAGGAGAGGTGTCACAGAGGACTGATATCTCGGAGAGAAAATTCCAGAAAGCCCATGGTGACTGAGGCGGCTGAAGGATTACTGAGGGGAAGGGATACCAGATGTTGCGTTGACGTTCAGTGAATCCAGGTACACACATACCACACGTAACTCACCTTAGAGTCAACATTTGCTGTGAACGAAAAAAAAATTAAAAAATAATTTGTATAAAAATTAATTGGTAAACCTTGTTCTTGCTCCAATATTGTTTACACTCGTACCTGGGCATTCACTGATAGCTCTGCACTGTCAGTGCAAGCTGACTCGTTGACAGCACATACGTTTGCTATTTACTTCGCTTGTATGTGGCTTTTTACAAAAGTGTCTACTAAATTAAAGTAAATGTATTGTAATATGATGTAAACCCTATGGAGATTCAGGTGTCTTTTGTCCAGGTTGGAAGCCCATTTCAAATACTTAAAATTTAAACATGCACTAAAGACAGAATATACCAGCAAATAGACAGACATCGGAGCCAGACATCAATGATGAGATGTTATCTACACTCTGTCCTAGTCTTCTGGTCTTTTAAATCAATACAGTTATATAACTGCACACTGTCTCAGGGTGTTTTACAATATCAGGAAATAAACTACTCTAAAGGTCCCCACTTATATGATAATTAACCCCTTAGCAGCAAAATTCTATGCAGAGAAACATACACACACATATTGGCTTACAATCAAAGCCTTCAGTCAGTCATGCAGTTTGAAATTTTATTGGAGTCTGGGTTAAATATCATCAGCTTGGAACAGCAATGATCCTCTTGAGTTATGTTGTTACACTGGTAGTCCCTCATCACTAGGCTACCTACTGGGCCTAAGAAAGCTTCTGGTGGACCACAGATTGGATCCTAATGATGTGGAGCATTTTTATTTTAGTCATCATTCCATAAAAAAAACGCATCCCGTGCAAAGAATTCCAAACTTCATTTTCTGCTTTGACGCTGGAGCCACAACATAAGAATTGGTCTCATGGTCTCATAGTCTAATCATAGTCCCTTGTTTTACTCATTCAGTTGGGATGTATGTTTCTGTATGTGAGATTAGTATGTACTAGGTCCCTACTCCCTGTCAACAAACTGAGAACCTCTATGACATTTAACTGGAATGCAGCATCTGTGAATCGATGTGTGGCTGCAGGTGATCTTCTGGAAACATCTTGCATAACAAAGGTGAGAATGCGGGTGAGGAGAACGCAAGGCTGCCGTCCACAAAGGAATCTAAGACACGGCTGAAGAGCTATAATACTCACGGTAAGACAGGACTGGAAAGGTACAGCAAACCAAGGTAGCGCTTCTAGCTAGTAGGCTAATAATATGTCTGAATGTGCTGGTGCCATTGACATTAAATATCTTTCTTGAGGAGTCAACATCAGGTTCTGACAAGATTAACATAGAAAATCCTAAGGTTGTGAGGTTAGATTCCTTATTACCTGCTGACCTGAAGTTAATGGAAATACACTATGCACTCTCAGAAAAAAAGGTAATTGTACCTTTGCTTGTCTCAAGGATCTGCCAATTTTACCCTATAGCTATAGGTAAATGTACAATTTAAGGTATAGAAATGTCTGTACCATTGATGGTACATTACTGCTGTTTGTACCTTCAGGATGTTCCTCAGAGTCCATTTCTGTACTTTACAAGGTATAATTACAAGGGTACTGCCCCAGTGACAACCAAAGGTTCAAATTCTTATCCTTTTTTTCTGAGTGTATTAACCTAAAAACTTACATGTTCACTACATATAGTTTCAAGACATTTTTTGAGTAGATGACTATTCCTTAGTTATATCAGGAATGATGATGTCAAAGCCTCAGGCAGTGGGCGGACCTTGCCTGTGAAGGTGCCCTCTGCGTCACCGTGACTTCATTTCAAAGCATATGACGCTGACCTGAAGTAATCACATCGGCACGGGTCAGAGTCGACCCCTGCACGGCCATCGATCTCGCGCTCGCGGGCTGTCATGTTAATTCCTCGGGATGACAATGCACATTCACCCAGGATTAGCGTGCGCTCTCTCTTGGACGCGAGGCCCGATGCGCAGTCTGTCGCCGGCTGGCTCCCATCCAGCCACACATAGACGTTCCCCATTGACTTTTAATATTCATGCAACACTTCGCTTTTTTTTTTTTTTAACTCATTATAGGGAAGCCGTATGTATTGTCGCTATATTCTATTCTATTTTCAACGACACTTTAAGCGTTTGCTGTATTTAAAAAGGGCATATATTTGGATAGCATTTCTGTAATGTCGCGTTAAAAAAACGGCGTGAAGTGTAAAAAAAATGACAAATAATACGTCGGAAATCAAATGAGTTTCGGGTCAGCCTAAATCGAAACGAGACGGCTTCCTGTGTGGGCTGGTTTGGTAGGTTTCTGATTTCATTGTCAGTTAGGCTACCTGTAAACGACAAAAAACTTTTTGCCATAACTTTTTAAAACTTTTCGTCAAACAAAACACGCAGAAGACGTGTCCATAACGACCACTCAGTTATTTATTTTGTTTGTGTGTACTAATTATACGCCAATTATTTTGTGGTATAAATGAATTCTCCGTTTTAACTATAATTTAATTATAAAACCAAAAATATATCTCTGATATAACGGCGTCATTATTATTATTATTATTATTATGTTCGAATTTAAATTGTGTCGTACAATATCCGGCAGTAAAGCCAATTTTGCATTTTCCCTTAGTATATGAATACGTATCCTATATTTGATAATTTAAATATTTCCTCAGTGCTCTGGTTCCGCTGGTGTATGCTTCTGCGTGTATAAACACGAGGTAATTAAAACAAAACTATTTTAAATATGGTTTTATGTGTGAACAATTGCTTTCAATGTTACAGAAAAGATATGCAAATTTATAAATATACATGCAAACGAATCTCAATACGATAGTAAACAAATTTTGGGATGAATGTTTAATTCTGTTAAAGTATAAGCTCATTTCAGATCTTTCAAATAATCGGAATCGACAGACAAACAATTGACCAATAAAACAAATAAGTTCAGCTGCTTGAGTTTTGCTTGGCATTTTATTATTCGTTTAGCAATACAAAACAACTTAGTTTAATACAAATGTGCAGAACAAATATTTAGTGCATTATGGGTTTTTCTTCACGAAAACTTTCATCATAAAAGATCAAAATAAACTACTGTACAAAGCCTAAAGCCGTTTTTCCAACACTCATGCCGTTGCATAACTGATACGTGCCGAATATTTCATTTAAATTAAGGCAATTTTAACCGTTTTCAATTAGGAGACAAAGTCTGAACTTTCATCGAATATATTCCACAGGTTTCATCCTTACAATTGACATGTAATCTTGTAAACATGATTTAACTGTCTAAGGACAATACGTCAACATAAATAAACACTAAAATCCGTACCATTGTAAATACTAAATGGGACAAACAAAATAAAAGTTGCATATATAAACAGCTACAAAGCATACGGTGTATCCAAGTTGTATATATACATGTAAACTGTACGGCTATGTACAAACGGTTTTGTGCCGCCAGGCTGATGACATGAGGACTAATAAAATAAAATCGTCCATGCATTGATTCCATTGGACGTGCAAACGTGTGTGGTCCTCATGAAGCGGTTTGGCCTGCACATCAAAACCGGAGACACTTCTCCAAGGACATGCTGTCTTAAAAAATAACTAGTAGCAACAGACCGGATAATTTGATCACATTAATTCATTTTAATTTAAAACACCGTTTTAAATGTAACGCATTATTCAATGTAACATTTAAACACTTTTAATCATTATCTATCTATTCTCCTGTGCACGCTAGTGTTTTCACATAAACACGGAACGTACTTGGATTCCGTAATTAATAAACTGAAAACTGTTTGCCAAATAGTTATTGAGAAGAGTAGGATCAAACCTCTAACGAACCTTGAACGCTAAATAATGCAATAACGCAGAACTCAGGGGAATTCAAAGCCGCTCTGTGTTGCATAGTTGGTATTGCCATTATTGCTTGGGCTTCTGGTAATATTCAAAGTGTGCACCGATTGTGTTTCAGTAAGGATGAGTTTAACTTTTATAGAAAACAATACCCAATAGAATGTCGTAAACGGGTTACGCCGGACCCTAGGCTGTTAGTCACTAATCATTCCTTTTACAAATATATGCAATCGATATCCGTAATAACCCAGGTTAGGGAATCTTTAATTACCTATAGGTGCACACGTCAGTTAAAAAAAACGGCGTCCGTGGATAAAGGGGAAAATTTGGCCAATAATTCATATACAAATTTTGGTAGGCTAAAACAATAATTAGGCTGCACTGCGATTTCAAATTTAGCCAAACCTATAGTAAAAAATACTGTGCATACTGTAAATAATGCAAATGTGCTTCAAACAAACAAACAAATAAATAAACAAACAAGTGAATAAATAAATAAATAAATATTTTCAATAATTACCTGGCAAACCTTCACTTTCTCTCATTAATTATGAAAAGAGGCGTTTAACTCGTCCTGCATTGCATAGGACTGGCTGCGCAGGTGCAGGTCGTATGGGAAATGGCTTTCGGCTGACACCCTGAACATTGAGGTCTGCCCGATGGGGGTCCGGCCTGACATCGCGCAGTAACGCATACCGTAGTGACAGTTCTTGCCATAGTCTGGTGTGTCTTCGTGTTTGAGGGAGAAAATCCCGTTGAAGTTCATGGGCGGGCTGAGCGGACCCTCGAACTGGGGGCTCACACACTCCGGGGAGGTGTTCTCGTAAAACGACTCGTACGCACCGCAGTACCCGTACGCTCTGAAGGGTTTTCCGTTGTCTATGGTGCCGCTGCCGTGCCCTGCGGGTGTGCCCATGTCTGGGCTGGGATAGGGCGGGTACACTGCATCATAGGGGGGCCTGCCGGGGAACGACCCTTCCCCATTGTGATCTGTAAGAAAATTTCTGGCGTTGAGCTGCAGGCATCCCGCCACTAAATTGGTGGTGGGCTGTGACAGTCCTTTGCATAGGGTCTGCACGAAGGCGAGAAGATCAGGTCTCTTGCCAGCGCTGAGAGTCTCTGAAAGAGCCCAAATGTAGTTTTTGGCCAGGCGCAAAGTCTCGATTTTGGACAGCTTTTGCGTTTTGGAGTAACAGGGCACGACTTTACGGAGACTCTCCAGAGCGTCGTTCAGTCCGTGCATGCGGCTGCGCTCCCGGGCGTTGGCTTCCTGGCGTCGCATCTTGACCCTGTCTACTCGGCCCTTGGTCTTCTTTTTCCGAGGCCCCCTCCTTCTTGGCAGCCCGTTTTCGTCTTGGTCCTCCTCTCTGTCGTCTTCGTCCTTTTCAGAGTTTTCCTCCTGTGTTTCTTTTTCTTCTGGTTTGGGGGCCGCCTCCGGCTTTTCGGAAGTTGCGTCTTGCTTTCGGACTTTGCGGTCAGCCTGGTATTCACGTGTGAAGTTTGCGCCGAACTGGCCGTCGTGCATGGCATCAGGATCTTGGAAGGGTACGGTCAGCATTGTCCTGGGACGACAACACGGCGGAGTCAGTTACACTCCTGCGCTGCCCATTAAAAGCCCCAGTCTAGGATGCATTTTACATACAAGCGCATCTTGTTACGGCATAAAAGCGTTGTCACGTTTGCGCATCAAAATTAACCTCCCGTTAAATTTCAGTACTATTCAGTCAGCATCAAAATATTTATATTCACTAAACACAACATCATTTCTGCTAAGGAATTCCAGACATTTGCTCGGGTAGAATAATGTGCGTACTGCTTTTAATTAGTTCAAGTTAATTGAATCATTCATATCAACGTAAACAAAAGACTATAATTATCTTATATACACACCAACCAGTAACATGAACGGGTCAATTCACAGTTATTATGCAGTTATATCCATTGAAATGTGCTTACCTGGACTGTGTGTTTTCATGTTCCATAAAGGTTCAGGTTTAAACACCAGCCCCAGTGCCTCGCGATGGAGATGTCAGTGCGACTCTGTTGTACTCTCCCTCTTCCTCCCGGCCCCTTATCTCTCCCTTTTGAGAAATGACACTGATGCCAACTGCCAGGGCTGGTACCCATGCCATCTGCCGCTGACGTCGCGTGTCAGGGACGCTCACGTGACTCCGTCTCTGGGGACATCCGTTCTGCACCGATCATCTGGCATCCTCACTTACTGGGCACCGAGCAGCTTTAATTTAGCATCTGAAGATCAGCCCGAAGAAAGATTAATACTAACTTCGCTAGACACATCTCCGGAGAGATCGAATAAGAATCGCGATTTTGGTTTATTTCTCAACGCAAATCGCACGACCTTTTGCAGCATTTATTAAAAGATGAATATCAGCTGCCTTTAACGAGGCCCAACGGTAAATAGATGACTGCTACATGGCAAGAATGCATATGAATGCACATATACGTTTGAATGCATATTAATACCACAGTACACATACAGTACGCATATGGGTATTTTATACGGTTCCGTGATGATTAATTCTCCGGTTATTTAGGAGACGTGCTCTCCAAATTGTTGATCAGAACCACCTGCGTGAGGGTTATCTGAAGTTTAACTTGATTAATGTGTAAATTATGAAAATAAACTAAAGACTAATTTACGTTTTTTGTATTAATTGGATATGAATAACAGGGGCACGTTTTTCGTAATTAATCACCTGCAATGAGCGTGGAATACATTATAAATAAACATAAATAATATTCCTAGCGTGGAGACAAAAACACGATCAAGAACAATAATTAAAATGGAGGGTATGTTTAACCGTTAGCTTTAATCAGTACCTTATTATAGTGTACCATCATAAACTGACATATCTTCTCATTTCATGGGTCAGGGGGACATTACGTGTAATTCCCAATCGCTCTCCGTCAGGTTTTGGTTTATTTCCACTTTAACTCTCTCTCCACCCTTCTGAAATAAAGCTATTCCCATTATCCGAGTTCAATCACGTTAGCCAAGTAGGTAAACAATGGCCTTGGGTTCGAATTCCGACGCCGATTCAGCACTCGGTAGTTCATTCCAGGTAGTTTCCTCCAGGTGGTGCTGTGAGCTCTGGGCCATGTGGTCAGTCTGAGAGCCTCTAACCTACGCACACCCCCAGCGCATTAAAACGTTGTTTCCAATCACATACAAGTCTTCCAACACAGAGAAAATAGCTTTTGATCCCAGTGTCAGTCTGGATCCGATGATGTAAAAAAATCAGCTGTTAAAGGAGAATTTTATAACAAGTTTAATTTGAAATTATGAATCATGTTTTTAAATCCGGTTAAAGCTGCCTCTTCGGGGGGAGATTGTCTTTTTTCTTTTTTAATTATCCTCAGAAATTGTTACCGTTGCATAATTAAAATGATTAGTTTTGTTTAAGAGCGTTGTAATTTTAACAGTTTTTAGGAATATCAGTTCCTTGACTGTACACTTTAAATAGTTACAGCATGGCATTTTGCGCTTTCGTCTGGCTCTAACTCCTAGTATATTCAACCCCCACCTGGTCTCGCAAAAAAAAAAAAATCTGCTCGACTCTCCGTCTTCCACACCTTCATCTACACCCTGCTATGGTTTTATTTCTGAGTTTCCTTCATTTTTTTAAAACCCGCGAGGTGTGGAGCGCCTCGCGTCCTTCACCACTCCCTCATTTTCTCTCCTTTTGTTGTATTTATTTTATCCCCTGGAATTTCCCTCCCACGGATGACAATAAACACGAGGGTCTTTTTTTCCCGTCACGCTTGTTTTTGGCATGTTTTTTTATGGGGGGGGGGGGGGGGTGCAGAAAGGGGTGGTTCTGAGTTCAACTGTCACGAAGGACGGGGAACAGATTGCAGGGGTCACGCGGAAGGCTCTTATTTTTCGGTGCGCGCGCGGCACGCGGCGGGGCCGCTCGGCGGCGGCGGTGCACGGCGGGGCTCGGCGCGCTCTCCGGCTACGTCTCCGCCGTCTGTTCACCCAGCCTTTAATGTGAGTAATTCCCAGGAACGGTGGCACATGGCCAAGCCTGCTAAGGGCACACATCTGGCCACTGACTAAGGGTCACTCCATCTACCTATTAAGCTCTATGGCGGCTGTAGGCGTCTCGTGCCCTTCCTGGCTCCGCGTGACCTTGCCACGGGTACGGAACTCACCCAAGGCTTCTGGGCAACACCTAGAACCGGAACCTATTACAGTTAGGCTTACATTTATTTATCCGGCCGAAGGGACGTACTGAACGAGGCTGATAATTTATCTCAGGTGTCGAAGGGGCCAGCTTAGGTACAGAGCTGCTAAACCATAAAAGTGGGGAAATCAGCTTTATGAACAGAGCTTAAAACACACACATTTGTAGTCAGCAATGCTATAAACTTGTCATTAATTGGTTTGGCCCAGATGCACCATACAATCAGCACACGAATATCTCCCAAGAGAGAATCTAGTAAAAACACAGAACTTACATATTAAATATATTATGATAAATAATATAATCATAATATAATAAATATTAAATATATAAGTTCTACAATCTGTTATCCCTGCAATGCATGATCATACATGTGAATACATTTGTTTTGACAGTTCAGGATGAAAAAGTGAAATATTTCTTTATAATTGCAGTACTAAACCAACCGTTCTTTTCTCTTTTCAGTGGACAAATTTAGGCCATGTGTCTCTCTCCTGTTGGGATGCACTACCTGCTTTAATCTTATCGCTGTACTGCTGTAATTATACGGCTGCCATACGTAGTAGCAAAAGCTTAAACTTACCCTTAGTAGAATCTCAGTACCGTTCTGTATTGATTTAATCACCTTTCTGAATTTACCTTAGTGCTGTAACACATCCGGCTGCAGTTGAATAATAATCTCCTGCTTTAGACTTCAAAGCTAAGACCTCAGATGTAAGACCTCAGAGCTGATCTCAGACCTGCGACCTCAGACCTGTGACTGCAGAGCTAAGACCTCAGAGCTGAGACCTCAGAGGTAAAACCACAGAGCTGAGACCATAGAGCTAAGACCTCAGAACTAAGACCTCAGACCTAAGACTGTAGAGCTGAGACCTCAGAGATAAAACTGCAGAGCTGAGATCATAGAGCTAAGACCTCAGAACTAAGACTTCAGATCGAAGACTGCAGAGCTGAGACCTCAGAGCTAAATCCGCAGAGTTGAGACCACAAAGCTGAGACCTCAGAACTAAGACCTCAGACCTAAGACTGTAGAGCTGAGACCTCAGAGATAAAACTGCAGCGCTGAGATCATAGAGCTAAGACCTCAGAACTGAGACCTCAGACGTAAGACTGCAGAGCTGAGACCTCAGAGCTAAATCCACAGGGCTGAGACCACAGAGCTTAGACATCAGAACTAAGACCTCAGACCTGCTACCTGAGACCTACAGTAAGACTGCAGAGCTGAGACCTCAGAGCTAAATCCGCAGAGCTGAGACCACAGAGCTGAGACCTCAGAACTAAAACCACAGAACTGAGACCACAGAGCTTAGACATCAGAACTAAGACCTCAGACCTGCTACCTAAGACCTAAGACTGCAGAGCTGAGACCTCAGAGCTAAATCCGCAGAGCTGAGACCTCAGAACTAAAACCACAGAGCTGAGACCACAGAGCTTAGACATCAGAACTAAGACCTCAGACCTGCTACCTCAGACCTAAGATTGTAGAGCTGAGACCTCAGAACTCAAAGCTGAGACCTAAGAGCTAAGACGGCAGAGCTGAGATCACAGAGGTAAGACCTCAGATCTAAGACCTCCAAGCTAAGACGGCAGTGCTAAGACGACAGAACTGACCCTGTGATCATCGTCATGCCGGATTGAAACTGCTCGAGTGAACCCAGGATTCATTCAGCTGACAGATATCCTCTCGCACCTCAGTGCCACGAGAAATATTAGCAGTATCATTAGAATGCCCTTTCCTTCTTCTACAAACATGTTCATTCTCCTTTGCTCTGTGCTGAACACTGCAGTGGGGAAACTGGAGTAGGAGTCTAACATGTTAGTTTTCATTGGAATGAATGAGAGGACAAACACACTTATAAGAACAGAGAGATGCACACACACACACACACAGAAAAACACAAAAGCACACAGAAAAGGGAGATCCACACAATCACATCTGCAAGCACACAATCAGAAACAAATGCAGACACACAAACACTGATGCAGTCCATGTATTCATATCTTTATGGGGACTCTCCATTAATTTCTATGGGCAAAGCCCTAATCCCAACAATAACCCAGTCTTAAACGCAGCCTTAAGTAACCAAACGAAATACAAGTCTATTGGCATTTTTAGTTTTTGACTGCAGCCACAGATTTTATGAAATTGAGTTTCCTCTTACAGGGACCGGAAAAATGTCCCCACAATGTCAAATTAACAATGTGAGGACATTTGGTCCCCACAATGTACTGTACATCTGACCCCCCCCCCCCCACACACACACACACACACACACACACACACTGGCCCACAGAAAGCCTCAGCTGGCTTCTTCCTTTCCGGTCCAGCACACATCGGCATCTGATGAGTCAAACTTCCCATTTCAGACTAATCAGTTGACTGCACTAATTGCAAATGCAAATATGCAAATTTATATTAATTAATTACTGCACTAATTAGTTCTCTGGTCTTTTCAGGTAATAAATCACTGTGCAGAGGAAAGAAAAGGCGGCTTGTCCCATTTAGTCTCGCATAAAAATTTAATGCCCGGCCTCAGAAATAACTTCCGCCGCCAGTGCCGATACGGCCAGCTCGTCCGGTGTGCTGGTACCGCCAACGCCCCCGTCAGACGCGGACGGGAAAAAAACACGCAGGTCAATAAAGAAGAAGCGGGGGCATGAAGGGGGGGATGGGGGTTGCTTGCCGTCTGCCGCAAACGGTGCTGACGAGCGTGCCTGCGAGCGCCTTTAATTATCACATTATCAGCTCTTAAAGGGGATGGCGGAGAACGGCGATGCAGGCTGTGCGATTCACACGTCAGCTCAAAAAGCGTTCAATGATAGCGGCAGTTGTGCGGAGACGTGAGCCACAACCTTCCGTAATGTGCAGTAAGAGCCCCCCCCCCCCAGTCTGGCGCCCGCACATGGTAGCGCCCCCTGCTGGC